AAATTATTATATTTGCTTTTTTTATAGCATGATAAAATGTAATTTAATAAAAAAATTAAGTTTTTTTTAAATTTATCAGGTGGTCCTAAACTTTTGGCCAGGGAGTGTAAATGCTTATCAGATATAAAATTATTAAGTCCTGGATTAATCATTATCATCATAAATTAAATTATTTTGCTAACTCATTTAATATATTTTGATCATCCTTTATTTAATTCTATTTAAATTTTACCTATTGTGTATCTTTCTAATTTTATGAACATATATATTCCTCTTATGTTACTATTTATATCTGAACTACTAGTCTTCTAGATCCTATTGTGATTTCAGCATATTATCAAAGAATACTTGAATCTTTTATTAAAGAATCAAGCTGTAATATGTAGGTTTTTTATTATATTTTTGTTCCTATTCCTTATGCTATCATCATCTTTATCATTTTTATTTATTGTCATTAGCTTGTATAATTCTGGTCAGTGCAAATCAGCTGCATTAAATGTGAAAAATACCATCTCTTTAGATCTTATCTATTTTATCATGTCTGATCACCTAATCTATGATTTAATAGTTAAAAATACAATTTCAATAAGATTATAATCAAGAGAATAAGATGGAAGAAAAATAACATGATATCCTAATCCTTCTATTAACTTTATTAATTTACTATTATGATGAATCCTAGCATTATCCATTACAATAACACTATTATCTCCTAGATATAGATTTATAATTAGTACCTAAAAAATAATATATAAATTTATTTAATTATATATAAAGGTAAATAAAATAAAATTTATAATTATTATTTACTACTTGACCAAGAACAAAATCAATAAATCTTTTTCGATCACATGATCCTTCAAATATATTAATAGTAACAAATCCTTCTAATGTAAGTGCGAATAATATAGTATATTATTTTCTTTGTATAAAAACTATTTTTTTTAAACTGACATATTTTTGGATGAATATCTATATAATCATAACAAACTTCTATTATCTTTAGCACTCTTATCAAGAAAAATGAGTTGATTTCATGTATAATGTTCACTAATTATAGTTAAATAATGAGTGCGTACAAATTCATTTTCATTTTAATGCTGCTTTTTGTAACTTTATCAATAAAAAATACTTAAGTTAAAATTTAGATTACCTTTTTTTTAGTAATTTCTAAATATTGAAGTTAATGCTAAAGTGTTATAATATATGCTTTTTTTTAGTTAAGCTTTCCATTTCATATACTAACTTGTCCAAATACCAGTCCATCTTTCCTATTACAAGATTCCTAAGTATAGTCATATCTTTCCTACTAAATAGATTTCTACAACCAGAAATTCTTTTGAAAGGGTCTTTAACATATGTCTAATGATTATATTATCTCTTCATCTTATTTATAACACATTTACTTATATATAATAAATTAGCAATATCTAAAGAAGAAAATTCATCAGCATGAAGATAAATAATACGCTAATACAATTTTCACTAAATTTACGAAATATATTCATTTATTTATAAAAAAATAAGAAATAACTTAGAATCAGTTGAAACTTAATTGATGGCTTAGTATTATGTGAAACTTAAAATAATTATTTTTATACTATATATATGTGTGACCTTATTTTGTCAAGATTATAAAATCAAAAAATTTTTTTTTATATAAATGGTAAAAAATTACCAATCATACTATTTTGAAAATGACGATAAATATCTAATCTTTCATATTTTATTAAATAATAAATATTAAAAAGATAAAAATATAAGTTATGTAAAATAAAAAAGAAAATATAATCTTTTTATATTGAATTTATACAAAAATATAATAATAAAAAATCAATTATTACAGATATTTTAAAAGATAAAAATTATTAGTTTATATAATTTTAAGAGATAAAAAAAATTAACTTTTAAATTAATAATACATTAAATATAAAACAAGATATTAATAGTAATATCTTAAAATTTAAAGCAAATTTTTTTATTAAGTAAATTTTTTACTAAGTAGATTTTATAAAAAATTTTTACCAATTAAAAAAAAATTAAAAAGTTTTAAAAAAAGATATAGATTATATTAATTTAAAAAATAGGATAAAGTTTTAAATATATTGTTAAAATATAATTATTTTACTTTATAATAATTTCTTAAATCTTAAAATTTAGAAAATATTTAAAATAATCATAAAACTAATCACTTTGAAAAATAGAATCTTTTAAAGTTTTAATATATGATTTTTTATCAAATCATAAAAGAAAATTTTAGAATTATTATATTTATTATGCAAATATAACTAAAACTAAAAAAAAGGTCACTTTCTTTTATTTATAAATTTAAAACTTTTATACTATAAACTTTAATTATAAAAATCTTTTTATTTATTATTTTTAAAATAAAAACTTGGATGCAAATTAGTATTTTAATGAAATTTTCTTAATCTTAATAAATAAATAAAATAAAAAAAAATATAGATTTATGTTTTTATTTAATAATATATTAATATATCTTATTTGAAATAAAATTAAAAAAAAATTAAATAGAATTAATATAAAATTTCTTTTATTATATATTTTAATTGATCTTTAATCATATAATGCTAGAATTATTTATTTATTTAAATATTAGCTTAACATTTTTTTTATCTAAAATAAAATTAATAATATATAAGATAAAATTACTAAAAACTTACTAATTAGTATTTATAATGATTTATAAAATTTAGTTAAAACTTAGCTTCAAAATAAATATTTTTTTGAATTAATATTAAATCTAAACTTATTTTACTAAAAAAAAATTATATTTAGCTCATAAAATATTTATTTTTTTGGTTAATTTTCTTTTTTTATTGCAAATACCTAAATGCTTGTTAAAAAAAAGTTTAATTTTTAAATTTACTTACTTTTTAATTATAACTTCTTTTAATTAATATAAAATTCATGATTTAATTTATTTTTTAGATAATTAATATATAGTATATTACAATTATATGAATTTGTTATTAAATAAAAATATTAAAAATGAAAATATAACTATTTGAAAATTAATAATAACATAAAAATATTTATAATATTTTTATATTTAAATTTAATAATATTTATTGTAAAAAATTTTCATTTTATTTATTTATAAATAAAAATTTAATTTATATTTATTTAAATAGTATTCTATAAGATAATGAATTTTTTAATGTTAGAAATAAAATCTGTTACTTATTTTATAACGTAATGTTTAACATATATTGAAGTTGTATTATAATAGTTTTTATTATTTAATTATCTATTAATAATAAATAAATAACAAAATTTTGAAAAAAACAAAACATATTACAATATTTTAAGAAGTTTATCAATTGGCTTTCAATAAATTAAAGATATCTATTAATAATCATTTAGTATTACCTTTATATAAAGCAATTTAATACTTTAATTTTATATTATAATTATGCTTAATAATATCATTGTAATATTAAATTGTATTTAAAAATTTAAGAATTTAAAATGCTAACAGATTAACTTATATGAGATAAGTGCTAGAAAAAGGGACCAAATCATCAAAAAATTATTTTTTTAAATAATGAGAGTTTTGGATCAGATAAGATGATCAGATTTAATTTTACTTAAGAACAAATTTTTGAAAAAAATTTTTGATTTAATCCTTTTTTCCAGCATTCACCCCATATAAGAATAGAAATTTTTGTGTTTTTTTAACTACCTTATCTTGAATTATCCCTTGGCTGGATCATTCTTTCAACCATTATTTATTGTAATTTAAATTTATGAAGATAATGTATTTGATTTAAAATTTATTAGAAAAGCAAGATTAAAAATTTATCAAATTTATCAAAATTAGCCTAAAATATATTTGACTTCTAATATCTGAAATAGATGTGAAATAAAATTTTTTTTTTAATATAAATTAGAATTAGAAATTCAACTTTTTTTTTTTAAAAAAAAATTTATGTATAATTTTAATTATTCAAAATTTATTCATATTTGATATCAATACTAAAATACAAAAAATTTGACAATCAATTGGATTTTACGCAACATCTAACATGCGCTATGTATGGTTTAAAGTTCGTGCTTTTAAGTGAGCATATGAATTGGTTCTCATGCGAAATTGTGAATAACAAACCATATTTTTCGGACACAAACAAATACAAAACAATAGACCTGGAATATCCTTAAAAGGTTTTAATTGTTTTAAATGGTCGATTAAATACTTGTCGGTTTATGTAACACGAATTAAAAAGAAGTTTTATATTCTTTTCAAAAATAAACATAAAAAGATAAATTCTAAAGGATTTTTTTCTTTTTTTTGTTTAAAAAAAAAATTAATTTGGACATTAAAAAGAGATTAAAAGAAAAATAATCTTTTTTTTATACATTCTTTCCTATTATAAAATTTTACGAACCTTTCACCATGATTGGAATTGCTAAAATCACAACAATTTTCGCTGGTATTTTCACTTTCTTGGGCATTATAGGGCCTGTTTCAATCATGGCATCTCCTTTACCTGCAGAAATTCCAAATCCTATTTCCATTCCTCTGCAAGCTCAACAGGATGAATCACTTTTAGTAGCTCGTAACACATTGACTAAGCGCCGTAAAATCGGTAAGTTTTAAAGCGAAAAAATTTTTTTCCTATAAGATTTTTACCATTTAATCAATCTTTTTAACTCGCTTTTTTTTATTATTTTATAGTCGGTTCAGGTTGTTCTGTAATGTAAACAGCAATTTACCAAAAAAAGAAAAAATAGAAAAAGAAAATGGGTTTTCTAAATGAGCGTAGAACGGATGATTGTTCCACACATATATATATATATAGTTTTGTGTATAAAGTTTTGTCAATTAAAAATAAAATCAATCCGATTTTAACTGATTATATGAAATATTACATGTGCATTAATTTCGATTGCGATAAAAAATGCAAACACTAGCAAATAAGCTATAATACTGTTAAAAACTTTTTAAAGAAGCATTTATCATCTTCAATTTTCAGCTAAAGAATCAGAATCTTCGTCACTTGAACTATTTTCAGAAGAGGAACCAGAACTTAAAGAAGTTAAGGAGGATTCACTTTCCTCTTCATCCCTCCTCCTTTTCTTTTCATTACTCAAACCTACTTCATTCTCCTCCCTCATTTTTAGATAATTCATAATTCCTAATTGAGTTTGATCAAGTTCAAGCCACTTACAAATATTCAAAGTAAATTTCCAATAATCAATATCATTTTGTTGCCAGGCTGTTGGTAAATATTTGAGTAAACCGTCCATCATCATTGTTAATCCCGTTACTTTGAATTTTTTTGCTAAATACGCGATTGTGAATAATTGTTCATTTGTTCTCATGTAAATCGGACATCCATAACTAAAAATCAAATGAATTTCATTATCATTTCCTCTTTATTATAATTATTAATAATAAATAATATGATACTCACAAATATGATAGGAATTTACCAAAAATTTCATAATCATAATAAAATTCAACATTATGAAACCGATCATTTTCATCTTTACAATCCTCTTTATTAAAAATGTCATACCAATTCTTCACAACAATACAACTTTTCATTAAACAAGAGCAATCTATATAATACTTTCCATTTTTCCTTTTATCATCATGTCCCTCTTTAAAATATTCCAAGAAATAACCTGATTGATATTTTAAGATAATACTATGTGCAAAATAACATTTTCCATTTATACGCAATACCACATCGTATGTATAATGGTCATTGAAAAGTCGTTTTAAATTTGGAATTACCTCCATCTTTTCTTGAAGATTTGAATAAGATAGAGGCTAAAATTCTACAAACAAGCTTGTTTGAAATTTATGTTGACATGGACCCATTACGTAATCGATTTGTTGATCAAGTTGGGGATTTTTTTTTTATTAAAAAATCGCAATTCCAGTTCAAGCATAACTTAAAATCCCTTTTTTTTTTTAAAATAAAAAATGATTTCTTTCATAATATATTCCTTAATTTTTCTTGTAATAAATGTAATAATTGTATATGTTGTAATGAATGATGATAATAAAGAACAATTTAGTGAAAACAAAATTTTATTAGTTATATCTCATCCTGATGATGAATGTATGTTTTTTGGTCCCACTTTACTGTCCTTGCAAAATAGAAAAAATCAAATTCATGTATTATGTTTATCAATAGGTATTTTTTATTTTTTAAAAAGTTTTTTTCGTTATTTAAGAATGGAATTAAAAAATCATCTGGGTGATAAAATATATATAATATTTAGGAAATGAATCGGGATTGGGGGAGTTACGAAAGAAAGAACTGGAGCGTAGTTGTATTACGCTTGGGATTGAAGTCGGAAATGTTTATGTTATTGATCATCCGTAAGTTTACAATCTCAAAAATGTAAAAATCTCTCAATCGCCTCTGTCAAATTAAATATTTCTTTGATTCAATTAAGGTTATTACAAGACGGTCTAAATAATAATTGGGACCCTTCTTTAATATCTGACATAATAAACGATTATGTAACAACTCATCGAATTGACACTGTAAGTATGCATTGTAAATTCTCATTTTTTTTTAAAAAAAAATAAAATAAAGGTAAAAAAAAAAACTTCAAATTTACAGATTATAACTTTTGATGAGAAGGGGGTTTCTTCACATCCAAATCATATAGCTGCGTTTAAAGGTGCTAGGTAAATAATGAATTATTGTTATATTGGTAACTGAATCAACTAATTTATTTGTTCATGTATTTTATCTAGAAATTTTATCCAATCCATTACCAGTTCAAATAACATCATTTTATACAAATTAACAACAGTCTCGGTATTAAGAAAATATATATCCATATTTGATCTTCCTCAAACATATTTATTTAAAAATCAAACCAATTTCATTTTTATTTCTACCTTCAATCATTTTATGCAAGCAAGAAAAGCTATGACAACTCATCAAACTCAATTAGTTTGGTTTCGTCACTTATATATTTTATTTTCTAGGTATATGGTAATGAATGAATTACAATTAGTTAAATAATAATAAAATCAATCTATTTAATTTATTATTGTTATGACTTAATTAATTATATTCTTAACCGTAAACTGAAAGACAAAACCTTTTGAAAAAGGGTTAATGAACTAAAAATACACAAAACTATTTTTAAATGATTGATTGAAAAGATTATATTTTACAAAAATTAATGATTAAATGAAAAAAAAAAAATTAATTATGTTCTATATTACAAACAACAACATTAAGAAATTATAAGAATTGAAATGGCATTGAAAATCATAAATATACCTCTTTTTACCAAATACATCAATTAATGAGTAATTAAACAAAAGGATAGCAAATGAATGATCGTTCTTATTATTAGTTATTATTAATCAAATATGGATTACTACAACTGAAAGTCACTATCCTCTTCATCATCGGTCACATTATCTATAACTGATTTGCGTTTCTTTTTAGACTTTTTAGACATAGCATCATTAGGTGCACTTCTTTTTTTACCACTTCCTGGTGTCCTTGGTGACGTATTTTTTGACTTTGAACCTAATTTACGTACGCTTCCTTTCTTTGTAGGGGTACCTCCTGACGATTTTGTTATCGTTGGCGTTGTTTCATCGAACAATGACATGGTCGTTACATCGAAATCCACGTTAACGTAACCATTCAATTGTTTGTTAATTGAGTCCGCTTCCATCTCCGTGTTGGCAAATTCCTCTTCTTGCGTGCCATCATCAGACATAAGTTTTCTGAACTGAAGCAAAGAAACCATGTTTATTTTATCTAAAGAATATTTCAAGGTAAATCCACAAAAAAAAAAAAAAAATTTAATATAATTCAATACCAATTCGCATTGTTGATGTATATCTTCATCAGTTAACAAAGGTTTATCTACGAATGGAAGACCTTCCCATGTAATCACTGGTGGAGCATGTTGTTGACGTAACGCCGGCTTATCTTTATTAGATCCACTTTGGGCTGGGTTGAAGTTCTGACATTTACTAAATATTATACAAAATCGCGGTCAATAAACCGCATATAATGGACATCTAAAATCTCTCAGAATCCTGACTTACGCTTCACTGAGTGCGTATGCCTTTTTCAAATGTTCTTTTAAGTACATAAGAATAGCCATGCAAATGGAAACCTTGGCGGCATAAGGTAATGGTAAAATAGTTTCTATGAATAATAATGAAAAAATCACGATTATTTAAAATATAATTAATATTATAATATAACTATCTATAATTTGCAAAAGACGAGACATAAATCTACCTTTATCTTTATTTATCGATTCTCGCTCTTGAACATCTTGTATTGCCATTTTCTCTACACTCTCTAAAAATGCGGAACTTTGTATATCAATTGACGTTGAATTTAAATTAGTGTTATCCTTTAGAGTTTCATATCTCCCATTAATTTCCTTAACCTCGTCGTTAAGCATAGGAACATTATGCGGATCCGAATCAAGTGGGAGGTTCCTTCCAACAATTATTTGAACGTTATCAAGGATTTGTTCTTGGGAAAATTTGTTTTGACTAAATGCGTCCACGTTGATATTAAGAACTTTTGCATTGTGTTGAATGGAATGCAGAATACTTATAGCAACAACTGATAAAACACGATTGATGCAATAGATAACATGAAGGACTTCTTCCAAGGATTTATAATCAATAGTAGCAAGATTTTCTGCGACAAATTTACAGAAACCAACATCAACCTACACAAAATAAAATAATAAATTTATGAAATAATTGGAAGAAACGCATATGAATACGTATTAAAGCAACCATAAAATGTTATTTGTTTTTCATACCATCGATTCATCGTATCGTATTAGATCAAAATCAAACGTCCTGACAATTGATATTAAGAAATCATTGCGACGTTGTCGTTTTTCTTTTAACAAAGAATACATTGGATTAAGCAAAGCCTCCGGATATCCCTCATCATTTCGAACAGCATATCCTTATAAAAATAATTAGATTAAAGACCCACAAACAATGTATAAAAACGTTCTTGATTTTGTGATTCTTATATAACATACCAACGAGGTTATTACCAACCAATTGTTTTTGAAAAGCGTATGCCTTTTTGACGCAATCAACATTACGAGAATGTATCAATGAAGCGTGCTTTTCATTTAAAAGTTGATGCAATTTAAACGCTTTGTCGCGAATCGTTTGTTCCGGACTAGTTTCTATGGCAACAATTGTTGGCATACACTAAAATATAAACCTTAACATAAACATAACATCGACAAAATATAACAAATGATGAACAAAAGCTCCTACAAACCAATACAGGATGGGCTAAACCCTGTTGAATAATGTTGCCCAAGACATCTAAAGCAATCGTTTTCAAACCCTGCGTTTGATCAAAAGTACATTCAAGGATCTGGTCGAGATATCGTTGCATTAAAGAGCTGCTCACCCTTTTAAAAAAAAAAAAATTTTTTTTTTTTAGAAAGAAAAATCATAAAGAAATAAATATAATATAAATTTTAAACGGTTCATATCACTTTACCCTGCCTCTGCAAACTCATCCGCATTTCCAATCAAAACCTTTAAATCGACAGGAACATTTTTTTTTTGTTCTATAAAAAAGGAATTACGTAAGTTATAACCTGAAACAAATCAATGTTATGAATTATATCACGATATTCTCACTTTTATCTTCCAAATCCGTGTTAATCTTTTGTTGCTCTGCTACCAAGAAATCGGCGAATACCTTCATTAATTGTATTTTCATATCCATGACCCCAGTACTTAGAATACGATCCATTAGACTGGTGCTTTCCGGTCTGAGCATGATTATTGGATAGGACAAATATATGAATCCTATATATAAGATAACATTAATAAGGTGAGAAATAATGCTATATGTGCATAATGTTAATTAATATCCTTCCTTACCCAAGCTCTGTAATGCCATTTTCTGTACGGTTTCTGATAAGCTTTCACCACAAAAATATAAAGCTAATTGGAAAACAATTGCTATTATAGGTCCCTAAATTTCATATAAACAAATGATAGATTATCATACATTATATTAAAACATTAAAGCATATTAGACAATATTCGTTCAAACCTTGTCAATGAGGTTTAATTCCTTCATTTCGTCTATTAAGAAACAGAATAGTGAACGTTATCGAAATGATAATAATACAATCAAATTATTATATTTTTAATAGTCACCAACCTGGATGTTCTGTTCTTTTTTTGTCAAAATCAAAGTTTTTACATAATAAACCGATAATCAAAAGAAGAACCATAACATTTCGAGCCGAAGATATCTCTTTTCCGGTATCCAAATGTTTTTTTTCAATTTTAAGTTTTTCTGTTAATAGATATACGGAAGGTAAGTAATTGTTCAATTTAATCACATGAAAATAGGTTTACAAAGTATTACCTATACAAGATCTTAGTAGCTTCGTTAAACGAGCATAGTTATGTGTTAACTTATCCACAATAACACAAAGGCAAGGCACAACCTCTTGAAGAATCTAAAAATAGTTATAAGATTAACTTATATACAAATATTACATGTTTATTTTAAATTCAAATCATTACCTTTTGTGGACTTTTGGTAAGTAGACCAAGAAGTGCTTGCTCTACCTCAGTTAAAAAGCTTGGATTTGGTCGTTTTAAAAGTGGAAGAACACTTCGATAGATTATTAATACATAATACAAGATTGTTTGTTCATCGGTCTATAATATCCAGAATAAAATTAAAAAAGGTTCATGTTATTGATAGAAAACATCACGTCTCTTACCGAACTAGCACTTTTTAAATACGGTTGCAAAGTGGCGACATGCCTTCGAACAAGTGAAGGAGAAGCATTACTTAAGAGGCATATGGTGCTGATACAACTTACAACCTCAGTCTTGAGAGAAAGAAATATAATATTATAATTAGTTATCAACGATTCTTCAAAAAAAAAAAATGTTTTTTCAAAGTTCATGTATAAGTAAGTACTTTTGAATTAGAATCTTGTAATGTCAATAGATGTTCAAAGAGACAATCCACCATACACTGGCATATATTTAAGATTTCTCGTTTCTGCTTTCCATCCTTTTCTATAATCTTTTCAAAAAAAGCAATTTATCAACTTCTTTCACGTGAAACATGCTCATATTAATGAAAAACAAAACTAACCTTTTTGAATAGCCCTCCCAACACATTACCATTCCTTTCGCCAAGGCGTCCTGCAACTCCAACAATTAACAAACTTCTACTTAAAACTTCCTTCTTGCCGACAGCATACATGTTGGTAAATTCACTTTGTCCTTCATTATCATCATCAAGATCATCCATGTCAACGGTCACATTCCTTTGATGTTTGAAAGGTACAAACCATAATTCTTGAATGGTTTTTAAAGCCAAGTCCTTAAAAATCAAATAAAACACTAATTAGTATCAATGAATTGGTTAACAATTTTAATCACTGACAAATTTGTTACTTTAACATGATTATCGTCGTCATTTATACGCATGAGAATTTTACAGCCAATGTCTATCATCATCTTCTGATCCGTGCTTTTAAGATATATGTCACGAAGTAATTTGATAACACGTTTTCGGACATTGAGACCAGTATCCTAAAATTTCAAAATCAATTGTTACCAGAAAAGTACTTGAAAATATATCCATTTAATCAAAGATGAAAATATATATTACCAAAATTCGTTCACTAATAACTTTATAATACTGTTCAGTGATTTCGGGTTTTTGCGAGAGATATCGACCGACAAGATCAATGGCTGCGTCGCGAACGGCCGGAGAATTATCGGAAAGCCTTTGTGCAATTGTTTGCCGAACATTGACCTACGAATTCAAAACATCATTAACAAATCAACACGGAACAAGTAATAATAAAGAACAACATTGTATGCCTATCTTACTTGGCTCAAAATGTTCGGATCATTAACAACTACTTGTCCTAACGCCCTCAGAGCTTTGGTTCGGAAGGCAACAACTCCCGTATCAAGTGAAACCAAAATCCTTGAGAGAATGGAGTCAAAGTTCTGATAAAGAGCTTGCCTTGTTGCAAGAAGTTCGGTTATAAGACTGATATCAGAGCGTTCAGTATCGAATGACCTATTCAGATAATAATGGAGAACTAAGCAACTAGAATGCCAACAAAATATTGCTAAGGAAGCTACAAACTGACTTGCCTTTGTTCTAAACTTTGATTAATGTTATCATCCAAAAACATTTGCCAATATTCGGCAATGATTTTATCCAACAATTTTTTCAATGAACGGATTAAGTCATTATCTTCGCTATCTTCATTTGACAAATTTTCAGTAATAGTTTGTAGTGTACTAACAAAAGAATATCCCCATTCTGCCAAATAAAACTGTCGAGCGCACTAATAAAATTGAAAATATATAGTCAATGATATTCATCGTAATGACTTATCAAGTTCTAACAGGTTAAACGCATACCTGTACACCGGGATCTTGCAACGCAACAAATTTCAAAAATGTCAACACAGTCTTTTGACATTCCCAAAGATTTTTAATTGCCTGTAAACTCGTATTACTAGTAATCTAAAATCGGACCAATTGAAATATAGTTACAAAATTTATATTTATTATGACTAGAAATAAAAAAATATCATTTTATTCATACCTCTCCCCTTGGAATATCTTTGGCCATATCTATACAATGACGAACTTCTTTATTTTCCCAATTATCCTCCAATGTACTCTCACCATTGATCAGAGCATTATTGGCATATTTTTTTATTCGTCCAGCAATGGTTCCTAAATAATCAATAGCCATGGACTTCGTGTACGTATCTGCTTTCTTATCATTAATATAGCCGACCTAAGATTTACAAATGAATTATAGATGAATGAATCGAAAAATAAGGAAAATAAACTTATATATATATACTCAACTAAGATATATTACCATAATTTTACTGAAAATGTGAACTATCATTTCCGCGGCAGGCCATTCTGGAAAGTTTAACACAGTAATTACATCTTCCATAAAGTTATCCAACAGGACACGATATTCAGAATCATTTGAGTTTTTAATAGATTTTGTACATCTTGTCATATCAAAAAAAAATATATATATATATATTAAGAAAAAGGTTAAAAATTAATCAACTTCTTTAGAATGTAAAATACCTTGCCAGCAAGAATTTGAAGACATAGCCGGCATTCACGCTAGCTGCGTCTATTCCTGTTTTCCAAATACCGCCACACTACATTAAATATTAACTAAAATAAATTCTGTGATCTAAAAAAAAATGAATGATAATGCGTTTTAGTGGAAAAATAAAAAAAAAAAAACCTTTTTAAAATTATTGACATCGTCATTGATCTCCATTCTAAGAATTTCCTCTTTACGCTGACCATCAATATCCTTAGAATCGTACTGATTTGTACCAGCAGTACAACTTTGAATGAGTTGCAAAATAAGTGCTGAAACCATTTGAATTGATTTACCATCAGGTAACCTATAATTAATAATGACGAAGTAAAAAGGGTCTTATTATAATAATAGATCAGTTATATACCATTACGATTCCATTTTTAATTACCTATATTGTCGCAAATTACGTTTTGCGGTAGGTAATTTAATGAGGGAGGTTAGAATTTCCTCTAAAATCCAAGTACGTTGTTTTTGATTATTTGTGAAAACCTATTAATTTAATTAGAAATAAGTTTTAAAACGTCAACCAACATGTAAAAAATAAGATAATCATATCTCACCAATCGCAATAACCCAAGTGCAACCAATTTCATGGATTCAACATTGATTCCAAAAAAATTATTGCCGCCTCCACCAGAAGAATCAACAAAAAATGGTCCAATGGCGATAAAACTAACTGTTATGACAATACTATCCGAAAGCTCTTCTTGCTGCATCAAGTCGTATAACTTTTTCAAATAAGTAGTTATAACTGGAAGCATCCCTGAAATTTTACGCTTTAAACGAGAAGTACAGAACCAGAATAATAATAGTCAAGGATCCTTAAAATACATAAAACCGTAAATGATTAAAAAGAAATTCTTTTATGAAAAAAGGATATTTATCAGAAATCTCGAGCAATAAGGAATCTGTTGCAACTATACAATATTGAGGATTGTTAATAATTATACCCATAAAAATTTTCAATGTAGAATAATAACATACGACTTAATTCCTCATTAGAGGTACTTGATTCCAAAAAGCGATAAATAATTCCTCCAAGTTGATTTTTTACAAGATTTAAACTTGAAGTGATTAAATCTTCGGGATATAGCTGTACTCAATAATACGAAATCGCACATTTAAATTAAAATTAATATATCATGATCACAGATAATGAAGTAATACAGTAAAGGTTATAGGAACAAACCTGTTTACTTAATTTACCGCCTGTCATGATTGAAAATGCGGCTATTGCGGCGTCAATTCCGTTAGTTATTTTTTCAAGTTTTTCCTCCATTTGTCTGATTTTTGAATCTTCCTCATCCTCATGGGAATCATCTTCATTTATGTCATTATCTAAATTTTTGTGATTCACTTTAGTTTTCGAATTTGTCGCGTGTATTTGGACTTGAGATGCTGATTTTGGTAATACATCCAAATTTTCAACCTCACGCACAGAACGATCTAATATTTTCAAAAGACGTGCTAAATCGTCTACTTCAGCATCTTCCATACGTTTATAACGGCTCACTTTGTTAACAAGCTTCGTAAGTTGTTGAATTGCGCTTGTGGTAAGCAAGGGCTCACTCGAACCCATGCTTGACTGAACTAGTAGAGGTGTTGAATTTGATGCAAATGCATTATTAGAGGATTGTTCCATGTCGACGGAATCCTCAGCTTCAAATATCGTACTCATATAATTAATCAAATTGATCAGTGCGCCTATAGAAATTATAATTAAAGACAAGGTTATAATAAAAAGTAAAAGTAACTTGATATAAACTATTTAAACTTACTCTCTCCATTTCGTTCTTCATCCTTATCCCTATCCCTATGTTTTTTATATTCCTGATTCGACTTTTTCTGAGATTGCTGCAAGTTAAGGATCGAATCAAACTCTGATTTTTGAGGCGAGCGATACACTTCTAATTTATTTCTCGGTGTGACTTCTATAACTACTTTAGGGGATGGCGCACGAGTACTCTGCCGTTTTGCAGTTGAGATAATGTTCGAATCTACGTATTGATTATCATTGAAATCTTTCACATAAGATTTTTCCTGAGCAATAACGACTTGAGGAATTAAATTGTTTGATTCTATTTCTTGTGAATCTGAATCGGATGGTACTTTCGAAACATTATAATTTGACTGAATATAAGATTTTGAAATAGGTGTACTTTCTATAACAACATGTGGAGAATTGTGACGTTCATTCTGCTGATAAGTTTGTGGAATTTCGCTCACTTCTGAATAAACGTTAGGATGATAATCTCGACTTGAATGTGCTGGAGTATCCAAAAAAACCAATGATGATGGTTTAATCTCTTGACTTTCTAACGTATTACTTATAATTGAGTTATTGTAAATGTTTTCATTATTATACGTATTCTGTTGTTCTCTCTGATCATTGGATATCATTTGAGTGGGTGAAATACTTGATCCTTTGTAAGAACTATGGTTATAATCAATACGCTGAGATACAGAACTATTATTCATGACAATTTCTGGTGTACTATTGTATGATAAGGAATCAATGCCATAAAAATCATGGTTATAGGTCTGTTCTGGTACCATACTGCCTTGAGGGATAATTTCCATAGTTTGCTCGAACGGACGTTTATGTTGATTTTTAAATTGAGGGTTGATCGCATAGTCGAAAGAAGGTTGTTGGAATGTTACCGATGGGCTCTTGAATCGGCTAGTTAAAAAAAAAAAAAATATTCATTAATCATTCAAAATGAACTCTTTCAACACATACGATGTCAATTCTCCCTTTTCTAACAGTACTTTTTTTTTTTTATTACCAAAATTTCATAAATCAAAAGTTTACGAAAATGACTATGAATTTTGATAATATTTCGAGTTCAAAATGTCAAAAGTAAAACAAACTATGTTTGTAACAGTTTCGACATATGATAGATTCTACATATTATGAAAAGGACCGTAATAAATTAAATCGACAAACCATTGACCACTTACACATAGCTCACATCAGCCTGGTTAATCAATCCACGAACTGCATGTAGAGATATGTCGGGAAATTTTGATGCTGATGGATTATCCAAGAGACTGCCAATACGTGCGTATTCAGGATCTGTTGGATTGCAAGTAATATAATCTCCGAATGCAATAGTTATAGGAGGTATATCCCTTATAACTTTTCGACAGGAGTGAAAGAATTGTTAAGCGAGCTTTTTAGTCCCATATCTAAACAGACCCCCCAGAGTCATTTGCGGACATTGATCCCCAGAAAATAAGAATCAAATAAATAAAAATAAAAATAAAAAACCTGCTGATGCCGGAGTAAGTGAAGCTAAAGCAGAGTATTGTAATGACGAACGAACGTCGCTTGGGGCTGGGACGTAACTTGCTCCGATCACTTCTTTGCCACCACGCTGCTTTCCATTTGCACTGTGAGGACCATTCATTATTTTGCTTTGTTGGATTTACACAAATTGCGCGTTTAATAGTTGTTTGATAAATTTCACTGTTTACAACGTTTTCCTATGGAACACTCGAAATAAAAATGAATGACATCAGAGTTGAAACACAGTTTTCTTCTCACTTATATCAAACAAAAATAGTGCAAACTTTCTTTGCTTTTATATCATGATTTCGAAGCGAAAATTGAACTTATCGACTGATTTTTATTTCATGCTAAGGCAACTAATCACGTGATTAAGTATGATATCTATTGAATAAAAAATTTTACATCACAAAAAAAATTATGATGATAATAACAAAAAAGATGATTACATATATATATATATATAAAATAAGACAAAATATATTATAAGAATTAATAAATAAAATAAAATAAAAAATAGATCAAGTCATTTCTTGATTATCACTTTGTCGCGAACTGTGTTTAGAATTTTTGGCCTTTTCCATTTCTTCTCTTTTGGCTTTCTGAATTTCCCAATCACTAAAACTTTCATCGCGTCCCAGTTTAAAACATTGACAACTAAATATAATTTTAACGAATTTCCAATACGCTCGAATCGCTTCCATTGAAGTTCCAAAAACTACGAATAATAATATACCCAACGATGCAATTATATATTCCATAAAAGGTTTTTTAGGATCATAAGGAGTTTCTTTGATGCTTAAAACTAAATTTCTTCCGTAAACTAAAATAGTTACGGCACAATATAAAACTCCAAATGTCACTAACCGTATACATACAAAAATTGGTATAGAAGCAATAGTTCTAGAGGAAAGGGGAGGGTTCTCATCAATTTGTCGCGTATTATGAAAATTTGGAAGTGATGCCATTGTTGCACTAGGTTCAACTCCAGTATTACGGGATGTTCGAGTTACGATTGAGGAGGGTTTTGGTTTAACAATACCTTTTCGAATATAAATAAATTTTACTACCATGATGGCAGTTCGTATCGAAAAATAAATTCCAAAAAGACTTGTTAGAGTGTTCCAACCTTGAATACTGCAAATAAATGTATAAATAACATTATTAAGTAAATTCGAATCAATGAAATAAATAAATCAAGTTCCTACCTAAAAAAAATCATTGGCACCTCTGGCTTATAGAGAACACAAAAATACGGGCCTGGCAAAATTCCATTCGGTCTCTCGGCAATTAAAACTGGAGGAATAATACCGACCAATATTGGAATGATCATTAACGTGGCCAAATAAAATTTTCGTCGTAGCCATTCACCTTCAGTTACGCGTAAAACCAAACTCCTATAAATCTCAAAGGAATATATTAATACTGTGATTCCTGCAGCTATCCCTGATGCATTGATCCATAACGCTTGAATCCAACATATCACTTGGGGTGCTTGATCTAAGTTTGCTCCATAAATCCAAGCTCCAAGTACGTGGGGTATATAGAGTGAAACCATGGATATACAAAAATATACAAATATACGATTGTAATCGAGTCGTCCGTATATAATTGAAAGAATTATCATACAAAAGAGAGAAACCGAGCTTAATATTGCATATATGAGGCCACCACCATTGATATAAGGTTCATTGTCTATTTGAAAACTATTATTATTTGATGTATCATTATTAGTTGCTGAAAGAGGACCCGCCTCCATAATTCTTTTTGAAATATAATATCCTACGGGAAATACTACCAAATTATTTTATTAGAAAAAAAAACTTTTATTAATAGAAAATCTAAATTACATGAAATAATTTATTTATTTAAATACAAAAAAAAAAAAAAACTGGTGTCGTGTATATACAGTGAACCGACAAAGCCTTTGCACATATACTTTTGGACAAATATTACTTTAAGACTTCACATACTAAAAGAAAATTTTTTAAAACAAAAAAAAGTCTATAATAAAATTGACCAAGACGCGAAAGAATTGGGCTTGTCACAAGCGTGGCTGGAGGCCAAAAATCGGTTAAAAATATATGTAACCTTTATTTGTTAGATTTTTGATTGTGTCATAATGACATAATAGAGTAGTAATGCTACATTTTTGGAGATGATAGACGTTATGAACGCTGCGTCACAAATAACAAAATTCAATTAAGTCATTACTAGTCATTAACAACCTTGTAAGGTAAAAAAAAGAAATGGTGTCAATTGTTAAATATACAAATGATCGCTTTTAATCGATTTTTAACCAATAAAAATATTATAAATTATCATAATGAATGAATGAATGAAAATGAATGAAAATGCTTTCATCTAATACAATTCTATAAGATTCCTTTGGAGATCTAAACGCCACCAGATGATCTTTCAATTGGAATTCTCTTTTGCTCGTGTTTGTCAGGTTGATGATCAAACAATGCATTCTTAAATTGTGACTCTTTCAAATCTTTCACACCACTCATGATCTCTAAAAATTCTTCAAATTCTATGGAATCACTTTCATCCAATTTCGCATCGGTCATAATAGAATTCAACACGTTTCCAGGTATAGAATATCCAACAAACGCTAAAGCCTTGTCTATATTGGCCGTCTTGATACGCCCGTCGCCTGACACATCCAATTCTGAAAAGACTTTTTGGAAACTAGCCAATTCTTCTGGTTGAAATCGTGAACGGGAATAAATGTCTTCATGCTCTGAACTTTTAGCAGATTCAATTTGAACTTTGTTTATGGTCAACTTTTCTTTTGGACGAGGTAATCCCATAGTGAACAAAAATTCGGTGGCTTTATCGAATTCTTGAATTTGCTTTTCAGGTGTCCACCCAAGTTCTTCGCTCATTATTTCAATAATGTAAGGTAGAGATTCAAGGGTTGCTTGAGCATTAAGAAAGGCTAACCTTGTGCGACGCGCAATAACATCCTGAATAAATCACATTAAAATAAATAAACCGAGATTTATAACACAGCTTAAATATCAAAATATTACAGGAATAAAAATTACATACCACTAAAGTACAAGCATATTCTCGACGAACAGCATAACGTACTTCAGCTTCGATATATGGATAGAATGGACTTAAACGTTGACCAAATACCGGCCATCGTTTTCCTGTAGGTTTTGATAGTGCGGCGACCGCCCACGCACGATCTCCATAACTATTTGCTAAATGTTGAGCGGTCTGTGTAAAGCAATAATTTTTTAGTCTAAATAATTCCAAATTTAATTAGAAAATATTGTATTGCGATGCGGAAAAAGGTATAACTTACTTCAGTTTCCAAACCGAATTGTTGAATTAGCTTAATGAACATAGTTTTTGAATATCCATGAGAGCCAATAAGCTTGGCCGTTTCTGTAAGACATTCGTTTATAGGTTTCAATTCTTTACGACATATAAGCGAATATTGAGTTCAGATTGATCAGATTAGTAATTTTATTTTATTTATTCTTTAGGAGAAAAAGAAACATGCTTACCAAACACATCAATAGCTTTATCGATTGCATCCTTAGCCATAGCACGATATGTCGTCCATTTACCACCAGCAACAGTGATTAAATTAGAATCACTGACGTGAATAATGTGACTTCGCACTAACCCAGCAGTGTTTTTTGCAGAAGGATCACGCACCAAAGGTCTTATACCTGACCATGCGGCCAATACGTCACCTCGACGAACCTTTATATCTACAATTATTAAAAAAAATAAATAAATTTAACAAGACAGAAACCAATCATATAAAACACTTTTTTACAATTAAATATACCCGGGCTTAAATATCGCCTAATTTCATCTAATATCCATTGTATTTCTTCTTCTTTTGGCATCGGGTCATACGTTAATTCTGTTGGTGAATCAGTTGTACCTGCAATAGTATTTCCTTCCCAAGGTAAAAAGAAAATAACTCTTCCATCAGAAGTTGACGGATCAAGTAATCCCATTTTTCGAGGACTATAATAATTTGGTAAAATAACATGTACTCCAGAAGAAGGAGCAACAATATTATCATTTTTAACATTGTCCATCGAACGAATGCTATCTAAGATTCATTAAATTAAAAAAAAATTTTAACAAATACAATCCATTAAGTTTTTACACGTTCATCCAAGCAACAGTAACAAGAAGAGATTATTTTACCTGTAAATGCACCGGTAGCATTTATAACACCTTTAGTGTTTATCGTCCATTCTTCTCCAGTTAGAGTATCCCTTAAACATGCACCGCTGACCTTTCCGTCTTCATTTTTTATCAACCTTGTTGCTTCCACATGATTAACAACGACAGCACCAAGTGAAATTGCTGTTAAAGCAATCGCTACATTCATACGAGCATCATTATGCTGACCTGAATGAATGAATGAATGAATGCACGCGACATCAATGATCTACCGATAACAGGGACACCGTAGCGAAAAATATCAATTTCTTACTTTGAGTAATTGAGCTATTTATATTACGAACCGTCATAATAAACCATTGCACCGACTAGTTTGTTTTTATTCAACCATGGAAAGGCCTCAAGCGCTTTACCACGTGTCAAAAAATAAGAACTTTCAATAGCCTCTCTTCCAGCAAGCTTGTCATAAAACTTGGAACCAAACCAAAAATAGGGGACTTGCCACCACCTTAATAAACGATATCATTATACATTCAATGTTGATTGTGAATTCATTTAAACGATCAAAATAATTGAAAAAAAGATCGCGAAAGTCATACTTGTAGATAGGCAACATGATTGGCAATTGGTAACTTAGATATGGTGCAATTTGTAAAAATGTGTAACGCTCATGAAGTGCTTCTTTTACAAGTTTGTATTGTCCGTAATCAAGTTCTTTTACAGCCTTCTCTAAATACCGAACACCACCGTGAACAAGTTTTGTAGAACGAGAGGAAGTTCCAGCTGCAAAGTCGTCTCTTTCCACTAATGCAACCTTTAATCCCCTTGTAGCAGCATCAAGCGCCGCGCCTGATCCCGTGGCTCCACCACCTATGATCAGAATATCAAAAGGTGGTTCATCCTTGTGTCCTTTGAGCATGTTTAGCAATTCCCCTCTTGAAGGAGGAGTCCATAAAGTATGAGGTTTATTTGATGAAGCCTCAAGTTGAACCGTGTTTAACGCGTCTGAATGCGTTTCGGACATGAAGAGATCTGGCGAAAAGGTAGCAAGGTGTCGTCTATATGGTTGTAAGCGACGTTTTTTAAGCGTAGTTTCATTATAAAAATGGTAAGAGGCTGCTCCCGTGGCTAATAAAACACCGGCATAACCAATACGCTTCCTATTGAAAGCTTTCCACATTTTTGTAAATTTTTGTAAATATAGTAGTTTTTGTAATAAAGGAAAAAACTATGGCAGTTCTCAATAATTCTTGAGAGATTTTATATAATTTAAAATCAAAAGATCTCCATTTGACATCTGATATGACAGTGCCACAAAATAAATATACTTTAATTGATTCTCGTGATAATATGCTGAATTTGAAAATGGATGGCCAATCCGCCAATCCTGAATCAAATAAATATATGAAAGTTCGCATAGTCATGTGAACAAATTTAAAATATTCCAACAAAAAACAATGTTTGACATTCTATTTGATTTGTTTTAGAATCATATTAGTATTAACAGTAAAGAATAATTCAACGTGTTATATGTTTACGTAATGATTTATACCAAATATGTTTTAATATTTGACAATTAAATAACTACATTTTATGAAATTATGTTGAGTGACGATTCAAATTCACTCCACCAATTTTTTGCAACTCGTTTTGTTTCAATCGTTAATTCGTCATTCCATTTTACGCCATCATATATCATCTTGATTATGATCTCCGAGTTTTTTAGAAATTGCATTATGTCTCTAATATTGAAATTCATTTTTCTATTTTGTTCATATTTATCCCAAATAGAAATAAATGAAATCATATTTGAAATAGTCTCAATACGAATTCTCTTTATTCCTTGAAAAACGTCGGAGAATACCGTGAACCAATAACGGTCCATGAACTTCAACATCGTAAATAAAGACCAAGGCTGGGCTGGTACAACAAAATTCCAATCGTCACCAAAGCATTGTTGAAAATGAAACGAGATTGCAGGCGGAAGTAAATTATTAAGATTAGCAATGATTTTTGTCACAAAACATTCTTGAAATGATTCGATTTGTCTTGATAATACGCTTTCTGGGAAGTACGGTGCCTCTTCATTCATCATTAATATTCCTATTGATTCTATCCTCTGATCACATTTATCATTCAAGACTTGTGAGGTGACCCCTTGTGAAATAAGTTCAGGATTGTTGTTATTATTTGTAGATCTTTTAATATTCTTTGGTGAATGAATTGAATCGTCAAGAGAAAACGAAGTCGGGCCATTATCTTTTTGTGCAGAATACGTTATGGTTTCATATGCTGTGATAGATGAAACCGAATTACTACTCTTGTTCTTTGGTGCATGTATTGAATCGTAAATAGAAGAATGCTCTGGATAATGTAACCTTTGTGTCAGCATTGGCGAACATGATACCATCGCAGATGGCATAGAAGAATTCTGCAATTGAGCTTCATACATGGATGCTTGATTTTGCATTGAGGATGAAGAATCTGGTGGAATTTCGTCATAATCCATCATCATTATATCAGCGTCCTAATGTACAAATTTTCCGGATTGAAAAAAATAGATACTATCCATCTAAAATAAATATGTAAAAAATTACTATATAAATTACCTGATCAAAATTTTCGGTCACTAATTTTATATCATAGTCATTATGTAACGTTATAGTGCTTGACTCTTTAGAAACAGGTTCCCATCCATTATTTAACAAACAATCAGTGTTGAGCTTTTCCTTGGATAATATTTTCTTCAAAATATTATCAAGTCCTTCCGACCTCTGGTAAGATGCCGTTATTATACCTAAAATATTTCAATGTATACATTATAACATTTTCTTTGAATTAATATGAAAAATAAAAAAGGTATCACCAACCATGAATCATTGCTTTTACACATAAATTTTTATCATTAGACAATAGTATTATAGGACGCTGAGTGGTCATTTGAAAATATCTTTAAAATATATATATAATTTATATAATTTATTTATTTAAATATAAAAGAAAGTAATCATAGTTAAAATGAAAATGGTAACATACCTACAACAATCCAATATTTTATCATCATTATTCTTTAATACCAAAAATCAATCAGATTCAATGAAATATACTTTAATAAATTCATTTTTTTTTTGTTTACGTTACCTCATTAAATTCTACTTTTTCATCAATTTTTTGTCCGCGTAGTCCTTCCTCCTTGTCAACTAAACAGTTATGCAGAAATTTAATTGCAGTTTGTGCCAAATTCCCAACTTCATGTTGACTTGACGAGGTTTCGTTCTTCCACCGAGAACTCTTCAAACCATCAAGCTCTTGTAAAACTATCCATGGTACAATGATAAGAAATTTGTATTTTTTTGCGTGTACATAAATGAGAGTTTTCAAAAAAGCAAGGTGGGATATCAAAAAGTTTGTATCAACGACTACTACAGAGACGTGTTTGAGTTTTCCAGGACCTTGTTCAATAATTGGTTCTTGTGTCTAGCTAATTTTATCAGAGTTAATTCTTGATATACTTATAAAAACGCGTCAAAATAAATTTCTTTTGAAAGTACACACCGTTAAAGAACTCTCATAATATGTATCTAAAGCGTTCTCTTTACGAAATTCTACGATTTGCGAAGTGATGTCCTGTAAAATGTATTCATCGTCAATATCCATAAAATCACAATCATTATCTGTCATCTTGACAAGTGAGAAAAGATATAATGGATAGAAATGAGTTGGTTCATGTAATGTATCAGCTGATCAACAATGTATGTTTGATCAACTGCATGTGAAATATAATTTATAATTTAATGTAATTTTTATATTTACATGAAATTATTCTTTAATAAATTTATATAAATTTACTAATTTACTTAAACTAGAGTTGCTTACATATAATATGTACATAAAATGTATCAATTTCACATGATTTATACAGAAAATATTTGAGTATAATAAAAGCAATTTGTATAACAGTTATCACAACTATTATAATATTAATATTTAATAAAAAAATTTTTTATAATTGTCAAATCTTTTAAACTAAATATATAAAAAAGCAAATTTTTTCAGTTTAAAATATTTAATTCTAATAAATATAAGATAACTTTATAAATCAAATGATAAAATAATTTGCATAACTTTATAAATATCATATTGTAAAATTAAGAAATTGTAAATTAATAGGATCAATATTCTTAGTTCAATTAGTAATAATTAAACTTCTATGTAAATTACACTGTAATAGCCATAGACTTAAACTTCAACTAAGACATAAAACTATATGATTTTTATAAGAATTTTATTATAATGAATTTATTATGTCTAAATACTAAGTAGATGTAAAGAAAGTCAAAAATTAATAGAAACTTAGTTATTGCTAATAAGTCTGTAATAGATACTGTCTTATATCTTCAAATTTAGAGACTTTTATACAAGTAAAAAAGTGATTAACTAATAATTAGTAGATTATATACCATTTATATATAGTTTTGATAATAATAGATCATATTACATAATTGCAGCATTATCCAATTGAAATATCATTAGGGATAAAGATCAGGTTTAATTTTTTAGTATATTTATGATATAAATATAACAATCAACTATCTTTTTTAGTTCTATACAGGAATGATAATTTTTAAGATATAAGCTTTGTAAGATTATTTCATCTTAAGTCTTTCTAATCATATATAATAAATATTCTAATATTGAGTAAAAATTATAATGATTCTAATTAATGTTAGTAAAATAGTAATATGATAATTCTTATAGCTGAAAGTAATCTCTTTATATAATTCTGATAGTAATCTTAAAGGTTACTATAGAATACTGACTAAACCATTCCAGGTATTTTACAAATTCACCTATGAATTTGCAAAATACCTGAGTGATTTGATCAGGGATACTTTGTAAGAAGGAGGGTGATTTAATCAAATTATATAAATCATAAATATATATGATTTTATTAGCATTATCATATTCTATTTTTTGTAATGTATTTCACATTTTTGTATTATGTTTCACTATTAAGAATAGTTAAAGCAAATAAAAATACTAAACATTATAAATTTACTCTTAAAAAATAAGAAATTGGTTAGTTTATAAAAAGTTAATAGTTTTGCATTTTTAAATAGTTTAAATAGTGTTTGTACTAATGCAAACATTTTAATTTACAATCAAACTAAATTCGTGATTAGAGAAAGAAAAAAAATTAGTTTAAAGCCTCAGCATCTCATTTATTAAAGTTATACAGAGATAGATAACTATTTTTTTAGATTTAGAAAATGAGTTAGCAAATTGGATTTTGAAATGTTAAGAACAAAGTCTTTCAATTACTAGAAATATGATAATAAAAAAAGTTAAAAAACTTATATAAACTGATAAATATCAAGAAAAATATTCCAACATTTCTTTTTTAAATTTTTAAATAAATGGATGAACTGTTTTATAAGTTATTATAATTTTTCAAATTATCAAAAAATAACAGTATCTTAACATTTACCAGAAGATTTACTTAAAAATAGCAAAGTTTTTTGAGTTTTATTCTTTATAGAAAAATATAATATAATTATCTACTTCAACTTATTAGAAATATGAATGAAATACCTGTAGCTTTTGATTTACCTAATTTATATACTTTATAAAAATACAATTCTAATACTATTAATATTAAAACTACTATACATGAAAGAAGCATATTTACAGTTATTTTAGGTTATATAGTTGATAAATCAAAATTACCACCTATTGTTATTTTTAAATTAAAACATATACCTAGAGAAATATTTCCTAGTAGTATATTTGTAAAGGTAAATGTAAAAGGATGAAATTAATAAAATGAAATGATGTAATAGGTAAAAAATATCTGGTCTAAAAAAATTGTTGACTCCTCTAATTTCAACTCACTTCTTATTTTAATTGATATTATTAAACAAAAATTACATAAATAAGTAACTAATATGACAGTACTCCCTGAAAAATTAACATCTAAGTTGTAACTTCTTGATATATCAATTAATAAAAACTTTAAATTTAATGTAAGTATTATTAATTAATTTTATTTATTTTTATATATATTATTATATAAATTAAAAGGATATTTAATTTAATAGATTTATAAATTTTATAATAAGTAGATGACAAATAAAGTTCATAAGTTAACTTCATCTGAATATACTAAAAAACCTTCATATTTTTTGATATATTATTTATTGGTAAAAGATGCATAGAAAAAAATTAATACAAGTTTGATTTGTAAATTATTCAAATGTTATAGCATTTCAGTTAAAACTGATGGTTTTAAAATAACATAATTTTTGATTATGATAGTCTTATAATAAATAAAGAAAATAATAAATTAATTGAAAATAATAAATTTCAAGAGGAGGATTATAATAATTGAAATGAAATTAATTTTGCTAATATTTAAATAAATAATAAAGTCTGAATAAAATTTTGTATTTGATAAATAAATATCATAATAATATCTTAATCACATGATTTATATAATTTTATAGCTATTGATTAAAAATAAAATACCCTTATATAAACCATCTGAGTTTTATAAAATTTTAGCCCAAAATCTTAAGGGATATTTTACATAGAAAGGATGGTATAATTAGTACTTTACAGTAGTTAAATCTAATTAAAAGTCAAATCTTAATGAATACAATTTATAATACTAAATGGCAAACTTCTGAACAAATATACAGTGGTAATCAAAAGTATTGCATCACTTTCACATTAAATTTAAACTATAAATTATAAAAGCTAGCATAACAAATTTATATTTATTTTAAACTCTGAATCTCCAACATTATTTTAAAATAATTTTTTTGCTTAATTCATAGTATAATTTCGTATAAATTATTTGATTTACAAAATATTAGATTTTTAACTTTTTATTTAGAATAATAACAATAAAAATAAATACTTAATTTTCATTCTCTAAGTAATTAATAATTTGCATTTCAAATATTGTAAAAACTAGATCATTAATTGTAGAGAAATTAACTTTTAAAAATTATAAAATCAACGAAAATTAATGTTACACATATGTAAAATAGTGATTTTTGTGATTTTTAAAAGCTGATTTCTCTATAACTAATGATCCAATTTTTACAATATTTGAAATGCAAACTCTTAATTACTTAGAGAACAAAAATTAAGTATTAATTTTTATTGTCATTATTCTAAATAAAAAGTTAAAAATCCAATATTTTGTAAATCAAACAATATATACAAAATTACATTATGAATTAAGCAAAAAAATTATTTTAAAATAATGTTGGAGATTCAGGATTTAAAATAAATATAAATTTTTTATATTAACTTTTATAATTTATATTTTAAATTTAATGTGAAAGTAATGCAATACTTTTGATCATTATTGTATATAAGATAAATTACAGTTACTAATAAGTAACTAGGATTTAGTTTTAAAGCATTATGTAGAATTTCTCTTAGATAGTTCTTTTATTATAATTAAGTTTCAAAATAATTTCAAAAAAAAAAATTGTAAAATAGTATATCACATAACTTTATCAAAGGAAAAAAAATATTATAAAGAAATTACAATATTAAAAGATTAAAAAATAATTAATTGAATAAAAGATATAATAAAAAAATAATTTGCAAAAATTATAATAGATAAATTATTAATCAAAATTATATAATACCAATAGTAAATTACATGACTCAAAATATAAGGTAATCTATATGATAAAAAATGTAAATATATAATAAAATATAAGTAAATCATATAATATAAGATAAAGTTAAATCATATGATAATAAATAAGTAATTAACTAAATCATATATAAAATATGAATTATATGATATAAAATAAGAATAAATTACATAATATAGACTTATTATAAGAATTAGTAGATCATAAGATATAATGTTATCAGATTTATTTTATTTATCTTAACATCTAAATTGAGTGACTATAGTAGTTGATTCTATATGTTGGAGTTTCTAACCTTAAGATTTTCTCTAAGTTTTACAAATTTCTATTATACTTGAATTAATTCAGCAATTTATTATATTTTAGAATTTAAGATATATTTAATCGAATTCGTAATGATAAACTTAATAGTAAGTTAATGTAAGGTATCATAATAATCCTAAATGAGGAATAACGTTAAAGAGAAAAGTAGTTTATATGGATTTAAATTGATTTTTTTATTTATAACTTAAAACTCGCAAAAGAGTTAATTTACAACTTAAGCAAAAAGCTATTCTATTTATACAAAATTAATTTGTTACAGTTAACTATTTAATACACTATAAATTAACTAAATATAAATATATATTTTAATAAAAATATACTTAAATATAATAAAATAATATAAACTATAAAAGTAATAAAAAGAAATAAAATAAATTATAGATGTTAAAGAAATTATAAGCAAAATAGAGTAAATAAAATAAATAGACTGTATAGAAAATAT